ATGATTTTCGTGCGAGGAATCAGATGAACATTGCGACGGCATCACGCATGAATCCGTCACGACGATAAAAAAGTGATTTCAGGCAATCGAGACACGAAACCGCAACCGCGATAGGGCAACTCGAACTCCCGAAAGCCGATATAGATGCAAATGCTCCCGTCTCTCCTGGGATGGAGTCCACCGTGCGTGCCTTCCATGTTATATGGAAAAAGTTTTCACAGGCTATGGCAGTAATGATTATGTTCACGAACTCCTTCCTCCGTCCCCCATAGACATGTTAATGCGACATCACTTCATCTTGTACTCCGTGGAGCACATTGTAACCAAGCGAAAGTAGAGATCTTAGATTTTTGTCACTCTGACGAGGCACTTAAACAGGTCTCACGTCCAGACTGCAGAGAGGGAACGAAGGGGTTGGACTTTTACGCCGGAATATTCCCTGCCTGCGCTTCCACCAACCAGATTCCAGCCTTGCCCGGACGACGGATGACGTCAGAGCAGAAGTCGCATCCCATTGGCTGTTTCCTTCCGTCGGCCTCTTTCGCCCCCCGGGTGTTTTTTGCCCTCTTTCCAGTCGCAGGGTGTCGAGAGGCGCAGAAGTGCTCAGTTCGTGGATTCTCGTCTGGCTTTCTTCTCGTCTGGTCGGTGCGTGTCGTGTTAGAAGTGCTTGGGTCAGGACTTCGCTTTTGTTTAGCTCTCTTCAGTCCCTTTCAGACGTATTTTCTCGGATGGCTTCGACTTTTGCTGGACTCGAAGCGAGGACATCGAAACGTGAGCGTAAGTGTAAAAGTTTCGTTTGGGGTGCCTCCATTATTGCTCTATGGTTGCACAGCCGAGAGGAAAATGGAACGCGCCCCTGGGCATCTCAAGGTGAGTGCAACCTATAGGGGGACTGCGTTGGATTTTAACCATCGGTTAACTGTAAACTGGCCATCCTGAATATGAACTTTGTGAAAGTCATGAATGAGGCTGACGTCGTGCGACAGGTCAGTGGCTTTGTGTAACGAATCTGGTCGCAGCCGCGGTCATCTTAGTACGTGCGTGTTCCTGTTCTTGCACAGCCCACATCCCAGCAATCATGGAGCATTTAGTCATTCAACTACATCAACGAACGACTTGATTCTCGTGGGTTTTTCGGTCACGGAGCGAAGCCCTCGTGTCGCCTCGCCATCGCGCTTCTGGGCAATTCCGCCTCGCGAGACTCCACGCGCTTCCCGGGATCGTCCGCTTCGGGGAGACGAATGTGGAATGTTTGACGGGTGAACCGGTAAAAATGTGGCATTTGGCTCAGGAAATTGAAAGTTTTTTATTTATGCCAAGTCGGTACCTCTTGTCATGGCAGGCTTTCGTGCTCGCGTCAGCTTTGGAAATACCTCTAGCCCTATTTGTCGTTTGCAGACATGAGTAGCTGACAGTTGAGCTTCGGCATTACAGCACGATGAATATCTTCCAGAAGCCCCTCGAATTATCTCACTCCCTTCCAGGAGCATTTTAACTTTCTCTCCTTCACCCAGTCAGCAGTGTATGTGTGGCCTTAGATCGGCGCATCTGCGGAAACTGTGGCGTTTCTGTGGCTCAGGAAGGTCTTGCACACTTAGCCCGTGCTTGGCGGACATGGATGTTTCACGCGCTAGTGCAGTCCGACTGAAGATCGATTAAATCTTCTGCAAATGATTTGATGTACGTACGTGTCATTTTGATCATGAGATGCATAACTCAAAAAGGACCGCGAAGATCCAACGTGCCAAAGTTGCACTCGAAAGTTTTTGGAAAATGTTGAAGTTCTCCAAGCCACTAGATGGAGGTGTGTGTCTCGCTTTTCGCACAGTACACAAAAATGCCTTCCCTCTCTCCCTAGAATCGTCCCTCGCAGGAGTGTTTAGTACCTCACCATATGTGTTACCTAATCTCATTATGGTTTAACTATTTATTTCGTCCACAGTCAAGACAGTGATTTGGCATTGTCAGAAAATGAAGGGGAGATGTGTCAATAAGGAAGGAGTATAGTAGTCTAGGCCGTTGATTCATTCCGACGTGGGGGTTAGCAGTATTTGTAGCTTGGAGAGGAGGCTGGATTCTCCTTTTGCATCAGGTGGTAGCGATGACCTGCAGGAGTCTTGCAGAGGCGGCAGACACAGCTGGGATTAGGGTCGTGAATTCTTTACGGGAGCATGTTACATAGTGAAATCCGTGACTGGTGAATCTGGTTATGAGATGGTGGTTGGTTTGATTTGCTCCTTTCCAGAAGTGACAGGTAAAAGCCAGACCTTCCGTGAAATTTTCAACTACAAAATTCCAACGCCTTTCGTTGACCTCGGCTTCGTATTCTGTCCACACACGCCCCTCGAATGGAAAGCGATCGGCCATTTTTAGTTGTTCGCAAAGGGTGGGAGTGCCAGTCATTTGGTGCGCCAGGGTGGTAGAGGTGTTGCAAGAGAGACAGAGCGTCTTTTTCAGGAAGACGCTCTTCACTTTGCCCAATTCCAGAAGGTGTCGAGGTTTCAGGTAGGGAGCGATTACCTCTAGTCCGTAAGTAGTTAGTTTGATCGTGAACAACTTTAATGCGGTCTCGATCTTCAGAAGGTGAATGTTGACGAGAGAGCCGACTTTTTCTTCGTCTCTACATGGTTTGTGAAGGTCAGCGTTGTCTGAAGGGTGAAATCAATAAACGCGGGCACTTCTTCATTTGTTATCCCCATTTTCGAGACAGATTCATGGAGTCCAGGCTATAAACAAGCTCATATTCCATATAAGATTACTTTCGGAAGGAGTTTTAGAACGGCAACGGAGCTCGCGGATTCCATTCCTCGGTTCTTCGTCCTGAGGTCGGAAACTAGGAATTGTATTCGTGTATGCTCCATGGAACATCGACGGATTTGCCTTTCCCTGAAACGTACTATAATTAGGTTGCCGCAGAAAAAGCGGACATTTACGTTGCGCCTCGTGCATGTTACACCCGTGGTGCACGTGTGTACATATATGGCTTGTGAACGTGGGCTAAGCTTGGAACATCTGACTGCGGAGATAAACACACTTGGACCGGAGATAAATTGCTGACTGGGCAGCGATCTGCAAATCAGAAGTTGTCCGAAACCGTTAGGGGAGGTTGAGCATCGGAGCTATTAAAGAAAAAGGCTACAAATTTCTGCCGTTAGTTTTTTGTTATTGCAGGGTATCTGTATCACGCGCGGGAGGGGGCAAATGCATGCGAGATACCCAGGTTCATGATCGATCGCCAGAAAGTATAACTAAGAATTTTTATATTGCTAAAGTCATACATGTGTAGTCTTGGTCATTGAAATCGAAATCCTCTTTCCTGTCGTCAAGGTTCTACTTCTCACGTTCTACAGCGGTATTTTCACGTTCATTCTCTCCCTTGGGTATTCTCATTAAATCCTCTTAATCTTCTCAACGACGCTGATAGATGCAGCTGGAGTTCTCAATTTATTTTCAGGCGGAAATTTCTGTTGGGGTCCTCAACGGTTCAGATTTCCCTCCGAGACGGGGCATTTGCAATTGAATGTCGACCATTCGTCAGCGATGCCGCTCCTCATTTCAGCTCATTCCTCGATTTGGAAAGTGATCGGCTGCAAGTCTTCTCTCCGTGTTGAACGCGTAGGGTAAGCACCTCGGTTTCTGGCCGGTCTCCAGTTGTTGGCCAGTGATGCTTAAATCCGGCGTAATTAGTTAATCAGGCCGTTTTCAAGGATTCTATCGACATCTTACCCGTACGAGGACCTATTACTAGTGTTTCCCGGTGTGCGCACAGGGTGTCCACTTCCTATGGGAGGAAGTATCAGCGTGGCCAAAAACTGGGTTGTTTACCCTATTCGGTCCCGTTGCAGGGCAGACTGTGAGCCGGAGTGAAATCGACAGGGACTGGCCCCGCGTCAAATATCTCGATTGGCAGCAGAGTCTCGCCAACTTTGTGTGCTCGGTTGGTTTTTGGTGACACGAGTCGATCGAGAATATTCTCCCCCCTCCCGGTCTTTTTCTTAAAATGTTTGTAATGATTTTTCCATTTCGTTCGTTCATTGTGCGCCATTCTTTGATGCATCGGTAGGAATCCCTGCCATTGTTTCCTATACTTTCTTGGATCCTCTGCAATTTCCTGCGTTGACAGATGCAGCAGTTGGGTTTGGTTGCATAAGCATTTCCGCAAATGCGTATTTCATTTTACTGACCTGGTTGTCTTTTATTTTTCAGGTCGAGGTTTTCAGCACACATTGGGCAACATGTACCAGGTTGATTCAATTTTAATGTTAAAAAAAAAATAGCAATGACGTTCGGCTTTCCCTTTGGATCAACGTGGTTTTCGTGTAGCCACCTACCACCTCAAGCTAACCTAAGCTTTATGTTCTGAGATTCTGATATCAAGTAACACTGAGGAAGGAATATGGAGATATCCGTGATTTACAGAACTGCTTAAACGGCTAATTTTTCTGCCATCTGTTGATGTCGGTGGAACCACCATGTCAAGCCTCTAGTGACATGAAAGCACACTTTGGTTCGCCTGTCAACCACTAGGTGGCTGTGAAAGCGTACGTTTTCGATCTTCGTGTATCATCGTTTTCTCATGTCGAAAGTGGACCTACGGGGATTAAGACATTCGACTTGGAGGACGAATCGGGTTGCTCGGAAAGGGGTTAACAGGATATTTGGCTCTGTTCCACGAGAAGAATGTACTCTTCTGCTCCCAGAGGAATTATTTTTCGGGTCGATGGAATGCAGCCCTCGCCGCTTCTCAAGTTTGGCTACTTGTAAGTACTACTAGTAAGCTCTTGATGAAAATGAAAATTGACAGAGTTTGCTGTCGATTCTGATGCCCCACTTTTTTTTAACGTCGGCATTTACACGAGGAAAATGACATTGAATTCGCAAAAACAAATCCTTGCTGTAATTTTCGCTCAAAGCTTGTTTCGACTTTGTACGAATGTAGTTACTTTATTTCTTCTGGAATCTTAACATTTGGTACGAGAGGAGGCTGAAGACCCACTCGGATGAAACGAAGGACCAGGTGTCTCCCGGGCGGGCTACGTTCGTCTGTGACTCGAGAGGAAGGCGGCCACCGAGGATTGCTTCCACCTCGACGTCTCCGCCTCGGTCGGAAGGATGTCCTTTTTCTCATCATCCCCATCATGCACTTGGGAGTTCGTTGCTGGGAGACGGCGATCCTATTGGCTCTTGTGGCCTCTGTCACCGTAGACAGGTCAGCTTGTCAAATTCTGTTCAAGAATTTTTTTGCGTTCTGTACTGAAAACCCATCTGATGATCATATCGCTGGGGGTATTTTCATAATTACCTCAATCAATACTTTCTGCTTGGTTCCTCATTATCTGAACTAGTCTGTTTTGTTTTTCTAACGGGAGGGGAAACTCTCGTGAAGGCAGCAACCATGGGTGAATTAACCCATGGGGGGGGGGGGGGTAATTAGCAACAGCGAGAATAGGAGAGGAAATGAAGTGTCGCTTCTAACTCCCGCAGCTCCCCTTTGCGTTCGCCGCTGACAATTTTGGTGAATAGGATCGCAAAGCGACTGCTGGACTGCTATTGACAAAATATGTCCATGCATCAATTGGGAAAAAAAAAACATTTGTTGGGTTATTACGTTGTAATATCTCCTAACTATCCCTTTATGCGCATCTGTATCTGCCATGTCCGTAGTGACTAGGGAAAACGGCAGATATTGCGATCGTTTTGTCTTTTTTTTTTCTTTCCACTCCGTCTGTCTGCAATTGCCATAACAATTGTTCCCTTTCCGATTCGCATGTGCAGCATTTGGCCTGGTTCTGGGTCGAGGTCACCGATACTGGAGTTCCACTCCATCTCTCGCAGCTGACGGATCCATTGTTGACAGAGTGGCTGCACGTAGGAGCGTAAGCAGTGTGTGTGCGTTGCGTGCCACTAGAACCTGTTCAGATGACTTAGATGCAGAGCCGAACAGTATTAGACCAGCAGTCCCTCTGAAGAATCTTATTCGTTGTGCATTCTGGACGCTGAAGGAACACATATTAAACGATTGCTATGATTAAGGAGACACTAAGTCACAGTGTTGTGTTTACAACATGTGGAAACTATTGCACCTTTGAGCGCATAAACCGCGGAACACCCCGGTGTAATTTCAGCTTCCTATGTCATTCCGTTTCTGAGATATTATTGACTTTAGTGCGGATGTTTCTTTATAATCACAGGGACTTGAAAACGAAAACTTCACTGCTGATACTTTGGAGGTAGAATCTGACAGTAAAGTGGGTTGTGATGGCCAGTGGAATGGTGGACCTGTACCTGGGTTGGTACTGAAATTTGGTAGATGCTATCATGAAAGTCTCAGCTCAGGATTTATACTTACTCCCTCTCTTAATTTAACGCTTAACGTCGGTCGCATTTTTTTCGTATATTTTGCAGGGTTAGGGCCTGTATAGGAACGCACGACCTTCAGGCCTGATTGGACTTCTGAGCCACTGCGACCTCTTGGAATTTTGAGTTTTTCTGGTTAATGACGTTCAATTGTGGACGGTAGAAAGAGGACAATTTCTTCTGCGGGGAACTTTACTAGAACGGTAAACCAAAAGAAAGAAGTACTGATTAGTCTCTCAAGCGGTGAATTTCGAGAGAGGATTAATGCATACATCATGAATGTCTGCTAGGTAGCAGATACGAGGTGCGATAGGAAAGTAACAAGACAAGGCGTGTAGTTATGAAAGCAATTTATTTTAGAACCTGTTACGCCGGCCCTACACTACTTCTCCACACGGTCACCACCCATATTGAGACATTTTTTCCCATCGAAGAACTAGCTTTTCCATGACATCCTCAGAGCATTCCGTGTCCTGCGCGCGTAACCTCTCTTGAATTGTTTCTTTAACAGCAGCATCTGTAGTGAAATCACGTCTTCCGTGGTTGTTTCTTCTAAGGCCTATGGAAGTCGCTGGGCGCGAGATCGGGACTGTATGGAGGATGATCGTGGACCCGTCAGACACAGCAGCTGTTGAAGAGGTTTGCGTGAGAAGTCCTCGCAGTTCAAAATAGGGTTCGAGAGCAATTACACACACACACGCACACACACAGGACACGGAATTCTATGAGGATGTTATGGAAAAGCTGGTTCTTCGAAGGGACAAATGTCTCAACCTGGGTAGTGACTATGTAGTGTAGGGTAGGTACTACCACAATACATGCATGATAGATTCTAAAATAAATTGCATTCATAACTACAGGCCTTGTCTTGTTACCTTCCGATCACCCCTCGTACAAGAAAATCTATTTTTCCTGAAGCCTGAGGCTAACGATGCCTCTATGGTGAACTATTTGCAGAGAAAATCCAGGAAGTAGCGTATCCAGAACATTCATTTTCATCTACAGGGTGTTCCATAAGTCGTGCACCATAGGCTAGTGTGATGTATTTATTTATTTATTTTACAGATCTTGTATTTGAGTCATGGTACAGAGTAAAGACGAACGTGTAAATATTGATACTTATGTTCCCTATGGTGCGTGACTTATGGGACACCCTATAGAATGCCTCATCTGTGAAATGGCCTGTGAAAAGAAGTAATAAAAAGGGAGCTTCTCTTCAGTCACCCTGTAGAAATGTGCATCTTTTACTATGGAGGAGATGGATCCTCTGACGACAAGGAAACCCAGGATGAAGTAGGTGAATTTCACGGGTGAAATCGAAAACTTGTCCTCAGACGTCTTCCAAATAGCGAGTCTGACTGAGTAGAATGCATGGAACGAAAGGCTTTTGTGACAGGGAATTCCAATTTATGCCTCCTCGGAGAAGAGTAATTTCATCTGCTGGACTGTTCGTCATTCATCAATGCCTCATGAAGTACTGTAGATTGGAGTTTCCGCCTGCATGCCTTGTGTCCCTTTCAGATTCGGCTTTTCAGTAGTGGAGTATGTCCATTCGGCACAACAACATTGATAACAGGTTGAAATGTTGAGACATCTACATTTAAATAGGATCTACCAATCGGCGCGAGATGGCGCCTAAGTGCCGATTTGGCGATTCTCCCCCTGGTGCCATTGGAATGAGTCCACCCGATCTTTTAAGAACTTAAGAGCTTTGGTATTTCTAGATAGACGCGTTTAAGTAGGGAACCCGGCAGAAGGAGATTCCAAATATTACTGACCAGGGGGTCAAAGGAGACATGCTGTAATTTTTTAAGTCTATACATGGCGATTATAGGGAGTACAGGCTCTTGTATCTCTATTGAGAGGGATAGGGCGTGGAAATTTGTCTGCGGGGATGTGGCTGGTTCCTCTCCTAAGTCTGGGGGTGATGCAAGACATGTACTTTCTCTGCCGGACCGGAAGAGTTGCGTCACTCAAGTACTCTACTCGAAATCTGATACAATCTGGATCTGCTTATTTTAATCAAATTTTTGCCTTTACAGGGCTATTTATTGAGCATTACTACCGAACTACCTAATGTAAAACGATGTAATCAGGAGCTATATCATCTATTATCATAATTAAGTACAGTCTCACGCTGCTTTCTCTCATGTATTTGAATAGGCCAGGCTTAAGGTAGAATAATGGTAATTGTTATGTTAGTCGCACAAAATGAATAACTTTCCATTTATGCCATCACTGATGAGGATATATCCACGAATTGAACATTTACTCTTCTACTCAGGGCCGTTTCTAGGCGTGTTGGCGCCCAGGGCAAGAAGTTCCAACGGCGCCCCCCCTCCTTCCCCCTTTACCCCGCTGGCGCCCCCCTCCCCCCCCCCCTCCTCCCCCTTTACCACTCTGGCCCCCTCCCCCATCCCCCTTTACCCTACCAACGGCGCCCCCCCTCCTTCCCCCTTTACCCCGCTGGCGCCCCCCTCCCCCCCCCCTCCTCCCCCTTTACCACTCTGGCCCCCTCCCCCATCCCCCTTTACCCTGCTTGCGCCCCGGGCGATCGCCCGCTTCGCCCGCCCCTAGAAACGGCCCTGCTTCTACTCCTCATGGATATTTCGCCTTCTTGATAGGACGATGTCTCGGTTCGGATAGGCCGGGACTAACATAACATAACATGGTAGTGTCACGGAGCAGCAACCACGGCACGAGATGAGTGGCGACGAGCAGCTCTCTGTGGGTCGTTCAAGGAGGCTTAGGTACGGTCATACTCCGCCAGGCGTCACTCACAACTTTGGACCCTTGACCCTGACCTATAAACAGTCTGCAACCCCACTCTCCCGATTCCAATTCCTTTCCTGTATTATTCACACCCTCGTCCCCCAAGGGGCAACAGGGAGCACAATTCTAAGTTCATTGATACTCCGAGCCCGTCCTCATTAGATATATAAAATGAAGGACTGGGCCCTGGAAGGGAGCGCACATATGTGAGTGAGGGTCTCCCCTCTTCGCGTCAAAAAGAGGAGAAAAAATGAGCTGAGAAGCTGATATTAGTTTCAACTCTAAATGCTATTGCTTGCGGGCTATAGCCTACCCTTTTCTCCCTCCGCGATTAGAAATCCCCGTCCGTTCCTCTGTTCTTCCGCGCTCCTTCACCCCATCCTGATTTCCCTGACCGAGTCTTTTAGTTTTCATTTGCCCTGTCTTGTGCCTGAGCCAGCTAACACTTAGTCCTTTGTTGATTGCGTGGACCACCGGCCCAGAGATCCAGTGATGACCAGCTTCCGTCCCCTTCGTGTCATAACGTTGTACAGTGAGAAATCCTAACAATAAACCAGTCTTTTCTACAAACCAGAGAAAACTTCGGTTGTGGCTCCCACCACCGGAAGAGGAAAAGGTGTCCGCCATATTACGTGTCTGCCAATCGTACTATTGTTACGTCGAGAACGCAACAATAGTATGATTAACATAATCAGTCTATAAACTTCTCTAGTTCAATGCATGCCCATCATCAGGTAAAGGTATTGGGGCAAAGTATCTCCAATTTATCCCATTAAGTCAATGTAAATCGTAGTAAAGAAACCAGCTGGAAGGAGAAAGTAGAGCGCCGGGAAGCCAAGAAAAGAAGAATCGTTATGAGCGGCCAAATTTTAACGTTACCTATATTAACGTAACCTAATTAGGCATTTTCCTGACGTGGCACGTGCGCAGCACTTAGAGGTTGGCGAGTATACGGCAATAATTTTGACGCGATGTTACACCAAAAGGCAGATATGATTTCATCTCAAACCTGTTACACTATGTAATTTAGGGCTCATACGCGTAACATTTCTTTCGAACGCTAATATAGATCGAATTGCCGCTGAGGAATAGAGCCATTTTTGTAAGGCACAGGGAAGCATCTAAAAACGGGACGAGAAGAATGAGAGAGAGGAAAAATAATTGTGTGTGTGTGTGGGTACCCGAATAATTTCTCCTGATGGCACGTCCGTGGATTGGCATTTCGAGATCTCCGAACGTCGACGGAGCAATCTCCATTTAAGACCAAACATTCGAACGGGAAAGCAATGAAGCAATTAAAAAGAGCGGAGTTATGTTAGTCACAGCGACCAGATTGATTCAACGTCGGCTTTTTCATCTAGAGACATCTTGTACATGTGACCTTTATTGCATGTTGGTAGAACATAACTAGAAGAAGGTACATGGCAAATTGGGTTGCATGAAGAATTCTAGATTCATGAAGAACATTTGATGTGGGAATCGACTTGTCCTTTTTTTTGGTTATGTTAGTCACACATGCTTCGTGCAACTCCAGTGGAGTTGCACGATGCAGAAGTTGCAGTAAATGCAGAAATTTGCATTTATTATGTGTGCTGAAGCGCTGAATAGCAAGTGCAAGATGGAGTCTCTGTGGACAAAAATTTTTAGATGGAGGGATGAAAATTGGCCGAGAAAATTGAGTAGATATATATGTACTCCGCGTCCGATTGTTATGTTAGTCACGATGGAATCACCCTATACCATCAATCTGATATACGAGGGGTGATAAAAAATTTCCACGTTGGCACGACGTATTTTCAATGTTGAAGTGTGTTTCATTTCAACATTGCTTCATCATCGAGGCAACCTTTAGCACAACATTGAGGCAACATTGTTACGCCGAGGAATCAACCTTTGCTCAATGTTGACACAACGTTGCTGTGCCGAATGAATAGCTAATATGGCCACCCTTTTATGGGCGGAAAGTATCTGCGTTAAGTTCGATACAAAATGAATTAAGGGCATTAAGGGTGGTCCGCGATACTTGTTGCCCTTCCAAGCTACAACAGGAGTAGCTTAGGTTTATATTACCGAAGAACAATTTTTCAGTCTCTTGGGTATTTCGGCGGGGACAGATTGAATCGCATTTGTCAGACTCATCTCCTGATGAGGGTAAGGGGGGGTGGGGGGGGGGAGGAGAATGAAACACCAACCAGATGGATAAGAGCTTAACCATGGCATTCCGCGTTCCATGAAAAGCATTATCGCGTTCCGGCAACATATATCGGCCGAGAGCTTAGTGACATTTACCACCTCGTTGCTGTATGAATTGTGGTGCTCTATGGTGCTCTTCGGTGCCCGAAAGTGATGGTCGGGAGAAGGAACCAATGTTCCGGGGAAAAAAAAATCGAACTTGCAGGAAAAAAGGTTGAGGAGATGTACGTTCTTTGCGCTTGGGGAAGTAAGAATTCAACAAATCCTCGAGGTTATGGTAGCTTGGATACTTAAGTATCCTACTTCAATAATATGCAAATAGGTTGAATCTGTGCCGAAAGACAGTTTCTGGTATCTTAAAACAGTGGTTCTCAACCTTTTCGATCCTGCGGCTCACCTCAACGACTGCAAAGTGGTCCGAGGTCCACTACAGACTTAAAAGCTGTAGAATTATTTGTTACGGTTACTTACGGATTTACGGTTACTTGTCACGACCCACCGGTTAAGACCTTCATCTGATTCAGGCGTGGCTGGAGGAAAGGGCGTCCGACCTGGTGGTCCAGACATCTCAGGGGAAGTGGACGAGTCCTGCTTCGGCCGGGGCAATTATAGAGGCAGAATCCGCCCTACTCGATGGGTCAGCAAGCAAGAGGGACAGCAAGCAAGAGGGACAGCAAGCAAGAGGGACAGCAAGCAAGAGGGACAGCAAGCAAGAGGGACAGCAAGCAAGAGGGACAGCAAGCAAGAGGGACAGCAAGCGCTTCTTCCGCGCGCGAGTTTCGGAGAGATGCATCAACTCTGCAGTGTTGCAGCATTATATCAAACCCGATGCCGCAGTCGTTAGGCTAACGAAGACTGGCGCAAGTAGTAAATCAGCCGGAATTTCGTAAGTCCACTCTTCCACACCCAGAACATTGCAGCCTTCTAGTCCAAGGTTATAAAGGCTATAAAGAAGCGTATTGGCTGAACCAGTGTGTCCACGCATGAAGCGTACCTTAGAGCAGCGGCTCCCAAACTGTGGGTCGCAAGAGGCATCAAGGTGGGTCGTGTGCATTTCCTCAGTATAAAAAAAAATCACAACATCCGCATCCGCTCGGGATAAAACATGCCCTGCAGAAAAGGTCGATCAGTTTTCTCACGTCATAATTACTTTGAAAAAAAAAAAAACTCGTTCTGGACTCCGGTGGGTCGCGAAATTTTCTGTACGTCAGCAAGTGGGTCACGGATCAAAAAAGTCTGGGAACCGATGCCTTAGATGCCGTGTGCCGCTCGAGGAATGGACGCAAAGACGACCCAGCAGCATCTTTCTCATTGACGCAATAAATTACTTTTATCCCATATGAACTTGTACAATAATAACATTGACGAAATCGACCACTGACAAATTTCCTAATTTCAGGAGGCCAATAGCCTAGTTTCGACTTGAGAAGAGTTCCCGGGAAAAGAAATAGGTGGGCCTTGTAAAAAAAAAAAAAAAAAAACGTTGCCCTAACCTTTTCGCCTCAGGCGTTTCGGCCCGGGCTACCCTTTGCCCCGCTCAAATACCCATGAGCAAATTAATTGCAAATTAATGCAATTGATTTGCACGGTTTCAAATTAATCAAGGCTTATTTCAGACATATGATCTCGGTAGGAATCGGCTTTGTACAATATTTAGTACGTGGTGAGACAGTCCACGATAAAATTTTCACTTTTTCCCCCTACTTATCGCTCTTATCGTACGCGAAGCAACCCGACCGCGATTGCGCTGAATTCATCCAGATAAACTTTTCAAGTTTTCAGTTTTCGATGTCTCGAGTCAATTCAACTCGATCTAGTCCCAACTCGACAGCAATCCAGTTCTTGCACCCTCGGTCACGGACAGCATAAAAATGGTTCATGACCATGAAAATTGGCATCGAGCAGAGGCGGTATAGATTGCAAAGAAAGGAGGAGTCCGAGAGATTGAACATTGGACAGGCTCCACACGATGAACGTCGATCTGGTTCATCCCGCCAATTCTTTCCGCACCATCGATCAACCTGCTAGGTTCACCTAGCAACCTTGAAAGACAACAGGAAGCTCTGGATTAAATCACGACATGTCAGGCAGCACGAGACGTAAACATGTATTGACTCTGTGACGGTCACGGTCACGCTTCGCCAAGGGAAAGTTTCGCCTCGTGACTTTTTCTTATGAAAAATGCGTCAATCGTGGAGTCCATCAGTACCCACAGGACTGTTGCGCGATAATCGCATGGATAATCGCGACGGTTGTGTTCTTTCACTCGTCAACCCTTACGTGCTTGAATTTTCAGAGCAAAACAATTATTTTTTGTTTGTTTAATGTTCAACCCATTCAGTTCTGAATTATGTTCTGGGCATGTAAAATGTGTTATTTTCTTTTTGGACTGCAACGAGACTTATGTAATATAAAAGAGCTTTTAAAATAGTTTCTTCTGGAAAATTTGAATATTTGTTTCAATTATTTAAAGAAGAGATCACAATTATGCTATTTAATTAGTTCAAAGTATCCCTATTTTACGCCGTATGTTTCCCGGTATTTCCGTACTACTTTCCATCTGCACTTTCAGAAAAAAGGGTTCAGGTTATATCTTTTTGAGGGTTAAATAGGAAAGAATGGTTAGATATCGGTACAACACGATCTCAATGAGTTATTTAGATGCTTATTGAACTTCCTCTGAATTCTTTTCATCCCTTTGGATTTGGAGGGTTTCACATTCAATCCTTTGAATGGGTTATACGTAGAACACAAGAAAAGGGATACATACCCCTGTTTCCTTTTTGAGGCTGCATATTAATCCTCAATGAGATAATCTTCATAGGAATCGGATATTGCCAGAGTTCAGGTTTTAACCTTTTCAGGGTTAAGCCTCTGTTTGACCCATCACAGAGAATGCGACGCCATGATCTCGTCTGAGTGATGCTGCTTTCCTGCGACACGATGCCATTTTGATTATCGGTGATTATCGAGTTTTATCATACGGGACCGTTTCGTCGCTCGTTAGATTTGATTGAATTGCGTCAATACGCCTGAGCCATAGCATTTTTTAGGTTGGAGGAGGAGTTTTCGCTTAAAGCTTTCGTCCATTTGCCTGTGCCATTGAGAATGCGCAACTGTATCATTCAAAATGGGCATTCAATATTTTGCTTCATCTTCCATCGTGTCAATGGCTACGTCCCACGATGCGATTGGTTCATCGTTAAGGTCGCTTATTTTCCTGAAATGGTAAAACTGGAAGCTCAAGCAGTTTGGGAACTCATTTCAACATATAATGTACGATTAAGTTTGCTCCTTCAATTATCAATTTCTTACAGCATTAATTGGCGTGGCTTCTTTCTCAGTGTGTCGAGTTGATAGCGTTAAGTCACGAGTTATGAATTACACTATTCCTGTCTCTCCATTGGGCTTAACATTTACTTCTTAGATACTATGTTCAATTTGAAAAATCTGCGTGGAATCCTGAAGTTCCTCGTTTACTACCTTAGCGTTGCTGACGAGATAGATATCTCGTCAGGGCGTCGTTCCCGTTTCTGAGCTGGTGTTGAACATACTCGTCGGAACGACTCTATTTCGTCCCTTGAGGGCACCACAGGTATGTTCAGGACTTTGTTTATGAAATGGGTATACACAAATGGGGGAAAATGCGACGGGAAGTAGTGGGGATTGTCATTGGATACAGTTGCTACTCGTCATGCACCACGATTTTACCATCCCCCATTCTGACTGAATATCGTGAAAGCAACTATCGGTGAATGATTTCTCACCGAAAGAAGGGGAATCCGCAGTGGCCGTTTGCAGAACGTGAAACGTCAACGATAGCTCGAGTTACGCAAGAGTGATGGGACGTTTGAGCGCCAATCACTATTTCGGAGCACAGTCGCTCTCCGAGACCAGCTGATGAACCCGTTCGTCCCCATTGCCACCAAGTGGTTCAGGTTGGTTGTCCTAGATGATGCGAGGGCAACGGGTATAACCCGAAGGCCACTGCCAGATGAAGTGTTGTGAAATCTCCGAACCCCTTCGGAATCTATTTTTCAATTGTAAACCTGTTCCATCACGTCTAATTGAGGATTTTACTAGCTGCCGGGAATAAGATTATCATAATATCTTGTGTAGTCACAGCAGAACCCGTTTGGCATTCTTCATTCTTCTTGGTTGTTATATTCCTTTCATCGACGAGTGCTCGACTCGTCGAATGACGATTCGTCAGCTCGCAGTTCACCGATTGTTCCAACTCAAATGCTCATTGAATTATATTCTACCGAGTAGAACTCACATATATTCACCTTGCTGACTTAATGACGGATTGCAAACTATTTTTTTTGGGTACACGTGGGCCGAATTCATTCACAAAATTGCTTAGAAGGGATCCTAAGCTCGTGAAGACTCAGGTGGACCAACACTATGAAGGTAGTTTCAAAAGTAACTTTACAAGGGCTGCCCAAAAAAATTAGGTTAATGAAACCATTTGTGAAGCCCAAAGGGCTCTTTATTTTTCAAAATCGTCCCCAGCCTTACCGAGTCATTTGTCACTTCTTGTGAACAGCTTCTCTATTTCCTCCTGGAAAATATCCTGATTCAGATTTTTTACCCACTGCCGCACAAACGTTTTCACTTCTTCGTCTTAACGAAATTGTTACCCTCCCAGATGGTTCTTCGGGAGCCTGAAAAGGTGGTAGTCGGAAGGCGCAAGGTCCGTTCTATAGGGAGGGTGGTCCAATATTTCCCACCCAAAACGCGCCAAGAGCTCCGTTGCGCCGTAAGGGGTTGAGAGAAATCCTCACTGGGACGTTTTCTGAGGATGGCTTCGTGAAGCTTCGTCAGTGTTGCAGAGTAGGCGTTCGCATTGACAGCTGATCCATGGCCCAAGAATTCAACAAGAAATAAGGCTTCCGCTTCCCAGAAAACGCCTTCGCTACTCCAGCTGAAGGAAATCCAGGTTTCGTCGCCTGTGGCAATGCGTTATAAGAATTCTAAAACCGCAGAAGCGTAGCGCAGCAAGTTGACGGGACAGCCTGCCGTGCAGATGCCCTTATGGGCCTTGATCACTCTTTTGGGCATGCAGCGGGCTGAGACCTTTTTTGTTCCTGACGTTTAGTCCCAACTGCGAAGATTTCCCAGTAAATTTTTTTCTTTCGGCAAATTTCTGGCCCACAAAAAGCGAATCTCAATGCAAGACCCCATTTCAGGTTCGGTTAGTATGTTGATACCTGCACCCTTGTAATTAATGAGCAGGCTCAACTTGATCTCGCGTTATCAGTGACATCACTAGGCCGTTTATCGTATGAGTAAACCCTCACCGATATGTCATTGACTACAAGGGTTCAAGCACCAAGATTAAGTTACTTTTACGAACAGCCCTCATAATTTGCCCTCATAATCGCGTCGACAGGAATAATTTAGGAAGTTCGGTGAGTTAAGCAATCGAGTTGGACAATCGGTGAATTGCGAGTCGGCAAGATGATAGGGAACCCCTAAGCCATGTAACGGCCTTTTCCATCTCTCCAAGAACGAAACCATACATGCGAAAATAAATTTATTAGACTCTTGGATACAATGGTCAACTCAAAAGTTGCTTAGTATCTCGGCAAATACAGGACTTGCTCTCCCTTCTCATCGCTGCTGTCCCCAGCGTACTTCCCCTTGCCCCCGTACTTAACCTGGCCCTCGTACCTCACGACCGGGCGGTAGCCGTAGGCGTCAGCCTTGTACGTGACGATCTGCGTCCTCCCGTCGGGGAGCTTCACTCTGTATTCGCCCTGGGTGTCCTTNTTGGTACTTGTAGCCCTTGTGGCCGTCTGCCGTTGCCATGGCCAGAAGACACAGCGCAACCAGTACCTG